TTTGGCTGTTCCTAAAACAAGACTGAAGCTCAGAGGAGGTCAGGCATTTTCAATCATGGGTCCCAAACTCTGGAACAACCTGGCCCCAACATTAGGCAGGCCACCTCCCTTCCTCACTTCAAAACCCTGAAAACAATCCGCTTATGCACGTCCTCACCACTGCTAAACTCAATGCAACAGGTGGTTGTCGGATATGTCAGTGTATGACCTTGATATAATCTACATGCCTGGCCGGAACAATATAGATGCAGATCTTTTGTCCAGAATGGAAATTAGAGATGAGGCAGAGTGGCAAAGTATCTCACACTCTGGCAATAAGCCAATCTGTTATCATGTTGGGGCTCTTGACTCTTTTAAAGACTCACCCACATACATTGAGCCACTTGGACCTTCTCCTGCTTGCATACCTGAAGTGTATGCCTACCCAACATGCATGGAGCTCAACACCATAAGTCAAAATGCCCTGACAAGAACTGCTCACAGCCCAAAGTCAAGACACAGTAATAACGACTACCATGTAGGCCATAAACTCTGGCAAGTGGCCAGAAGATATAAAGTCTAGTCCTGAGATGAAAACCTTGAAAAGAGTCATTGCAAAGCTAATCATGAAAGATGGACTGCTACACCGTGTGAGTACTACTCATACAGGAAAACAGACAAACCAACCGATTTAAGGATAATCATGCTTAAGTCAATTCATGATGACCATGGCCACCTAGAAGTGGAGAAAACAATTGACATGCTCAGGAGCAGGTTCTTCTGGCCCAAAATGACCATGCACGTGGAGCAGTACATAAAAACTGTGGATAGTGCATTCTAAAGAAAACACTATGTCAAAGAGCTACACCCCTACACCAGATTGTGAGGACAGGCCCCATGGATCTTATCTGCATAGATTTCCTTTCTATGGAACCTGACTCAAAGTGAATAAGCAATGTGCTTGTGGTAACAGACCACTTTACGAGATATGTCCAAGCTTTTGCCACTAGAAATCAAACTGCCCTTACAGTTACCAAAACTCTGAAACAGTATTTTATTCACTACAGCTTGCCTGCACATATCCATTTGGATCAAGGCAGAGATTTTGCATCCAGACTCATTAAAAAACTTCTGCAAATGCTGGGAATCCGAAAATCACAGACAACACCATATCATCCCCAGGGCGACCCGCAACCAGAGCGGTTTAATAGAACACTACTGTTAATGTTAGGCACCTTGATTCAGGGAAAGAAATGTCAATGGAGCCAGCATGTTGTCCCTCTCGAACATGCTTACAATGGTACCAGATGTGACTCAACTGGTTACTCCCCACATTTCCTTATGTTTGGGTGAGAAGCCAGGCTCCTTGTTGATCTGTGCTTTGGTACCTGCCCAAATGACAAAGAGGTAACCCAGCATTCAGCTTATGTTACAAAGCTAATAGAAGACTTACAAAAGGCTTATAAAATGGCTACCGGTGTCTCCACCAAGACTCACATTTGCAACAAGAAAGCCTATGACAAAATATTAGGATTCCAGAACCTTCAACCAGGAGATTGAGTCTTGATAAAGAACCTTGGTTTGAAAGGAAAACACAAACTTGAAAATTGTTGGAATGATATTCCTTATGTTATACTTGAGCAACTGCCCAACGTCCAGTGTACAAGTTGAAACCCCAAAATGGCAATGGAAAAATAAAAAACACTACACAGAGATAATCTCTTACCAGTTGGAGATCTTGTGAGATTCCCTATGATGTAGTGAAAAGGGGGGACAAAATCCTCCTACCCAAAGAAATCTTTGCAGCAAGCATACTCCTGTAGACCATTCAGCAGAAATGGAGAGTGAGCTGTCGTCTGAGTTTCAGTATGCAAGACCACAAAGGTCCTATAGAACATACCTTGAACAGATACTCAAGGAGAGGAATGAAACCAGTCATGACATACCTGAACAGACTGGCAGAAACATGTGCATGAATGACAATGTCTCAGAAGGAGAACATCCTTTTGGAGAGGACCATGAGCAAGTTAGTGCCCCTGAATCAAACTCTGAGCCTGAAGTCCTTACAACATAGTATGGACACAAACACCTTCTAGACCTAGAAATACAGTTAAACTTGTTGTCAAAATTACTTATGATCAAACAGGCAAATCTAGAGATCAACCTCTCACTATAGTAACAAAGTCCATGCTCAATAATCCAGGTATACAATCCAACATTTTTCAGTCAGGTCATCTGGACAGTATCTTTTTTTTGTGCTGAAACGTTTCGCCTTTGGTCCGGAAGGCTTCATCAGTCAAGGAAACACACAACAAAACTGATTCTTCCCCCAACAGCTTACTCCAAAGTGGAAAAAAAACAGTTCTGCTTGTGATAAGATGGTCTCTTTGGTACCCCCCCTCCTCCATTGCCGGCCCTCTTCCTTGTTGACAGTCTTGTCAAACTGGTTGAAAACAACAAAGTCCATGCTCAATAATCCAGGTATACAATCCAACATTTTTCTCACTATAGTACAGAGGTGTACACATTGGTAAAACTAAATCCTTCTCATAGTTGTAATTGTTTGTCTAAGAGGACATCGGACATTTAGAAGGGGGAGGGTGTAACCCAGACAAATAAATGAATACATTGATTAAATTAATTAAATATGTTACAGTTTAAAGAAAATTTTTAAAACTCTGTTAAATATGTTGTAAATATAGCTTAAATTGTATTTAATTTATGTTGTAAAAGGCTTAAAAACTGCTTAATTACATAAGCATAAGTTAAAAGCAAGTAAAGTATAACATTTTGTTGGTATATTTTATTCCCGCTGTATTGTGAAAAGCTAAAGAAAGTGTGAGCAGTCAGGGGTAGAGCTTGACAAGAGTGATGAGGAAGCCATGCACAGCAGAGGCTACAGGTGTGCTGCAGCTTTGAGTAATTAAATAATTTTCCTGATTGTTAACCCAGTAATTGGTAAAAGACACTTGTTTAATATTTTTTGGGACAGCAATGTACATTTCAGCTTGACATTTGTCCTGTAATTCTGTTTTTGTACTTTGAGGCAGTTTAACATTGAACATTTATCATACCCTAGCTAAGTGAATGCTGTACAGGAAACCTAATTTAGCTTGCTCAGCTTACTAAGGAGACTGCCTCTTCATCATTCCGGTGTGGATGTGAAGATTAGTCATAACTGGAGTGTTTATAGAATGCCAGAAGAGTGCCTTTGGATTTTTTTTTCCTACTCTCAGACATTGGTCATCGGAGTTAAACCTTGGACCAGCAGATGGATTGCATCGCCATCTTAAGACATCATTTGGTTTTCCTCTTCACCTGAACTGGGACCAGAGTCTGTATGTACTAAACTACTAAATCAGGTACTGCTTTGTTTTTTTTATTTGCTCATAGAGAGAAACGGACATTACATTTTTGGGCCTCACCGCTCCCAAGCTTCGCTCAGGCCTGCAACTTTAAGGTTTTAGATCTATGCCGGCAGGTGTGTGTTTGATTGGTGAGCGGGCCCCCTCACATAAAGTTGAGGATTTACAGTGAACAATCTGACTACAGATGCAGTTTTGCGTTTTGTTTGTTTTGTGTATGTTATTCAAAGTTTAAAGTCACATGTTCAGTAAACTGAATTCACATTTACCTCATGGTTTGGTTATTTTTAGTTTAAAAGGGTGTGTGTGAGATGACTACGGTGTGTATTGAAAGGAAATTATGAGATAATTGGGTGTGTTAAAGTGTAAAGGTGAGCTACATTACATATGAGCAGACAGGAGCCCAGATGGTTGGATTGTGTTCTCTAGGTAAGCCCTAATGTGTGGATTTTCAGTTTGATACAGTGTTTTGTTCTCGCTGTGTTCAGGAAGGAGAGAGGGGTGGGTTCAATCCGGGTCAGTTTTTTGGGTTTTGTTGTTTTTGTTACCAGGTAAAGGCTTGTGATTTTCTCTATGTAATTTAGTTTTTGGTTGTTCAATTACGACCAACGTTAAGAATGTTGCCCACTCTGGTGGCTGCCCAGTTAAACGTGTAAACTGGAATGTAAAATCTCTTAATGTTCCAGTAAAATTCGGAAAGATTATGTCACACCTAAAACAGCTACATTCTCTTATCTCCTTTTTACAGGAGACTCACATGCTTTCTGCATATAGTGGAAAATTTGGTTAAAAAAATGGTCTGGTCAGGTGTTTCCATCTAATTTCCAATCCAAATCAAGAGAGGAAAATAAATACAGTGGAACTTGAACTTGGACTACTGTATCCCTACGGGAGGCTGTGGCTGAGTGGTTAGAGCAGTCGTCTTCCAATCTGAGAGTTGGGGGTTTGAATCCACCAACAGTCACATGCCAAAGTGTCCCTGGGCAAGACACTGAACCCCTCATTGCCTCTGATGTGTGTCCCATCAGTGTGTGAATGTGATGAAGCTCTGATTAGTCTCTTTAGAATGATTTGTTGAATTAGTAGCTTTGTAGAGATCTAGTAGAGAGCTGTATGAATGGGTAAATGAGGACACAGATTGTAGTGTGAAGCGCTTTGAGTATCTCAATAAGATGGAAAGGCACTATATAAGTACAGTCCATTTACAATATACCTCATGCCATATAGAGAGTAAAAACATAAATGTGTGTATTTTGATGAAACTGTGTTGATTTATCTAACATGTGCAGTTCAAAATGTCTTGTCATGTACAATACTGATAGTTGTACAACTATGAAAACTAGTTTTAAATGGTGTAATTTACAAAGAGAAGAAAATATCTGAGATTTGATAACTAAATTGAAAATGTTATGTAACATACAGGAAATAAACACATTTCCTAAAAGTCACATAGGCCAGTTTATTCACATATTGTGGGAAAGTACTGTTTGTACTAGGCAAAAATGGCCTTTCTAAAGACAAAAAATGAATGTAACCTCAGCATTCTGTAGAGCTCTAATATAAGTTGCTGAGTTAGGGGTTCCATGAAGGGTGCTGGGTCAGTGGTTCTTTACAACTGTTCAGGTATAAAAGGGAAGGGTTAAACCAGGTAGGAGAGCAGCACTGGAGCAAGAGCAAAAACTCATCTCTACCAATATGAGCAACACAGACATGAGCATGAGGGGGAAGGTACAAAACTTTATTTCACAGTAGATTGTATATTTTGCCAATAAGGTGGTTATGTAGTTTTTCAAAATAGAACAATTCACTCTTTTCCAGGTTATCTTCTATGAGGACAGGAACTTTCAGGGTCGCTACTATGAGTGCATGAGTGACTGTGCTGACATGCATTCCTACCTGAGCAGGTGTCACTCCTGTAGGGTGGAGAGTGGCTGCTTCATGGCCTATGACCGTCCCAACTTTATGGGAAACCAGTATTTTTTCAGGAGGGGTGAGTATTCTGATTACATGAGCATGATGGGCATGAGGGACTCCATCAGGTCTTGCCGCATGATCCCAATGGTAAGTTTTAAACTCTTCTGTTTTTCAAAATTAAAATTACTGTGTTTGAAAGAACAAAAATATCCTTTGACTATCATTTGTCCAATGGTTGTTACAGTACAGAGGATCCTACAGAATGAGAATCTATGAGAGGGAGAACTTTGGTGGTCAGATGTATGAAATGATGGACGACTGTGACCACATCATGGATCGCTACAGAATGTCTGATTGCATGTCCTGCCATGTGATGGACGGCTACTGGCTGATGTACGAGCAGCCCCACTACAAAGGCAGGATGATGTACATGAGGCCCGGAGAGTACAGAAGCTTCAGGGACATGGGATTTGGAGGCATGAGGTTCATGAGCATGAGAAGAATTATGGATACTTGGTATTAAAGGATTAATGTACAATATTGCGCAATAAATAAATCTGAATGCACTTTGGCTTAGTGTACTTTGGCTTATATTTTCATAGATATTAGGACACAGTATCATACATTAAATATTTATTTTTGAATTAAATGTGATTTGTATAAAACCTGAACCTTAAACCATAAAGTAGCAAGATCAAGAGTATAATAATAATTTTGTAAATCTATACTCACTAAATTAGTGTATTTTAGCCTCACTGCATTAAAAATATGAATCTTAAAATACAGGACAGATTATTGTGATTACGACATAAAGCATTACTGCACAATATTTTATATATTTTATAGCAATATAGTTTCAAATACAAAATAGTCCATCTATCCATGCATTCATCATCCATCCATCTATTATCTTTACCTGCTTCTTCCTTTTCGGGTCGTGGGATCACTGGTGCCCATATCCAGCAGTCACTGTGGGGGAGACGGGGTACATCCTGGACAGGTCACAAGTACATCACAGGTACAAAATAGTCCATTTCAGAATTTTGTGATTATCTGGAAATTAAAATATATTTTACCATCTAATTTGCAAATAATCACAAAATTCTGAAATAGACTATTTTTTACCTGTGATGAATTGTGACAGGCAGCACGGTGGCGCAACTGGTAGAGCTGCTGCCTCTCAGCAAGCAGGTCCTTGGTTCAAATCCCAGTCCGGGGGCCTTTCTGGGTTGAGTTTGCATGTTCTCTCCGTGCATGCATGGGTTTTCTCAAGGTACTCCGGTTTCCTCCCACAGACCAAAAACATGCATGTTAGGCTGATTGGTAACTCTAAATTGTCCCTAGGTGTGAATGAGAGAGTGAATGGTTGTTTGTCTCGTTTGTCTCTATGTGTCCCTGTGATGGACTTGTGACCTCTCCAGGGTGTACCCTGCCCTTCGCACAGTGATTGCTGGACACGGGCACCGGCGACCCCCGTTACCCAAACTGGAAGAAGCGGGTAAAAGATAATGGATGGATGTATTGTGACCTGTCCAGGGTGTACCCCCTCCCCCACAGTGACTGCTGAATATGGGCACCAGTGATCTCATGACACAAAAAGGAAGAAGCAGGTAAATATTATATGCCCCTTTTCCATTAGTAACAGTACAGCACAGTTCGACTCGACTCGGCACGATTCCATGGCTTTTCCACTAATAACGGTGGAATAAATAAAAATAATAAAATAATAATAATAACAATAATAATTATTAACATTTTAAAGCTTATACAAGACCTAACCTTTCTGCAATTTTTGTAAAATAACAATTAAAAATATATGGATATTATTCAAAAACAATTACATTAATTACATAAAACAAATAGAATGCATGAATTTCATGTAAAACATAATCAAAACTGAGATACAGTTAAGATGCAGATTTCTGCCTTATTTAAGGGGGTGGATAATTTCTACAGTATGTTGATGTCGCAGGAGCCAGGCTGTAGTATCTGCAGAGTGACAATGAGTTTAACAGTTTTTCTGAACCAGGGGTAAAACAGAGCATAGATCACTGGGTTTAGACAGGAATTTAAATAAAAGAGAAAGAACAAATAAGATGCATATGATGTACTGGTTAAATCAACTTCAACAAGAGAATAAATGTAATAAGGGCAGTAGCATATTAGATATACGACAACAAGAACACCAAGAGTCCTGGCTGCTTTTAACTCAGAGTTCATAGTTTTTAGTTTAATGGAATGCTGAAGTGTGACAGCTGTAACATGAGAGCGCATGGCACGAGCCTGAGACACAGCCACCATAAATACTCTCATGTACAGAAACACTATGATGGCAACTGGTATAATGAAGTTCAAAATAAGGTCAATAGTACCAGTAACATAATTTATGAAAACTACACATTCCCCCAAGCAGGAGTTATTCCTGCCTGGTTGAACCAATTCATCTTTCATAAAGAAAAGGCTGTAGAGACCATACCAGAGCCAAGACAGACAAACCCAACGTTTGACTCTTACTCTGGAGATTCTGATGGAATACTGCAGAGGGTCACAAATAGCAATATAGCGGTCAACTGATATGAGAATAATGTTTCCAACCGAAGCCAAAGGGATGTGCCAGGTCAGATAACAAAATGCAGCACACATGATATCCCCAAGAAACCAGCAGGTTGTGTTTTTGAAGATTTCTAAAGGCATCAGCAGGAGACCAACAAGAAAGTCGGAGACAGCCAGAGAGAGGAGAAGAATGTTAGTGGAGGTGTGGAGCTGCCTGGACAAAAACAGAAAGAAGAAAAATAACGATGTGCACATTATTTAATCAGAGTACCAGTGTACAAGTTGCATTGTCAGCATGTAAATCTGGCCATATATCTACATTTATCAACTTGATCTTTGCCTGAAATGTGAAACTGAGATGATGATGAGCAGGTTTAAAGCTGCAGTGATCAGAGAGATGAAAGACTGCATTATGTTCTGAAACACAAATTCAAACCAGTGAAGACTTGGCTTCCTGCAGGAGTTGTTGAAGAGGTGTGGAAAACAGAATTCTTCTCTGCCAATGATCTCCATCATCTGACGAGTAGAGCTCTCTGACCAGATGTTCACAGCTGATATACTTTTCACCATATCCCTCCCATATCTGCATTTAAGTCTCTGTGGATTACCACTGCACTGACATTTGTTCAGGCTTTTTATTTTTGACTTGCTGCATTCATTTATGGTGATTCAAAAAACAAATAAAGTTTGATCTTCACTCAGGATTACTTAGATTTTCCCAGATACTTTTGACTTAGAGTAGGTTGTGTGGAGATAGCTAAACCATCCCGTGTCACCTTCATCCACTTAATCCACTTGTTTTGTACTTTTAATGTTTATTCATCTTGCCTCTAGATGACACCTGAAATTCAAAAATAGTTGGGAAGCTGTGTCAAATGTAAATTAAAAATAGACTGAAATAATTTACCAGTCTCATATAAACATGTTTTATTCATAATAAAATAGCATAAACATAATAAATCTGGAAACAAAAACAAAATAAAAACATTTTTAACTAAAAAAAAGTTGTTTTGGAATTGGGTCAGCATAGTGGCACAGTTGATAAAGCTGCTGCCCCTTAGCGAGCAGGTTACTCTGGTTCAAATCCTGGTCTGGGGGCCTTTCTGCGTGGAGTTTGCATGTTCTCTCCGTGATGCGTGGGTTTTCTCCGGGTACTCCAGTTTCCTCCCACAGACCAGAAACAAACATGTTAGGCTGATTGGTAACTCTAAATTGTCCCTAGGCAAGGCTGGCCGCCTGGATAAGCAACATAAGCGGCTGCTTAGGGCCCCGTGGCCATGGGCC